TGTGTTACTCTTATATCCTCCTCCGCCTAGAATAGGTGAATAGGCATCTGTTCATTTGAGTGGATGAAAGAGATTTGTATTTTAGAGAATGTTACTTTCATTGACATTGTGTTCTGGGAAGTATAGCTACTTGGGGATTATACAGATTAACTCTTAGTTTGTGACTAATATAAACTCTTTTCCACTTTCTTTAAACCATTGACTTCTTATGGCTTATTTCCTAGAAGGTGTATAGGGGCTAAGAGAAGCAAAACACTGCTTGGTTTAATTCTGGGGAAAAGTTAGTTAAAGGAGGATTTGGGGCTCATTAGGGATTTAATTATGCTTGAAAACTTTATACTAGCTACTATAATGTAGTTATAGTTGAGAATTACCTTCACAGGCGGTACGAGCCATAGGAAGAGAGACTGGGAAGTGTTTTGCTTTTATAAAACATACTGGTCAAAGGTTGGGCATTGTACTCAGATGGACCAGTGTTCTTGGATATGTTTCCCAAGAATTTTGGGGCTTTATTTCCTCATCTATAAAAAGGGGATAATAGAGGTTCACTGTTAGGCACTAAAAGGTGGTTATGATGAGCTAATCGATACAAGCCAAGTCCTTGGCTTAGTTTCAGACACACAGTAAATGTTAAGTAAATATTAGCTATGATGATATTATATATTACTTTTACTTAAAGCATCATTAAACATCTTTAACTGGAGAATCATTAGTTATTGAGCCAGATTTGAGCAAATGCTTCCTGACACCTAATACCAACCTGTCTAGGCTGCACAAAGGTAGACCAGGGGCCAAGATGGGGGGAAAGGCTCCCGCACAGGTCAGAGTTTCAGAATTTCGTTCCAGCTCCCAACTTCACCAGCCTGGGTAGGTTTGGCCAACGGGTGTAACACCTCTGGGCTTGGTGTCCTCGCTGCCGGTGGGATGGCAGCGCTTCCCCTGCATTCCTGGCAGTTACTGGGAGGAGCTGGTGCACTCCTGGGGTTGAAAGCGCTAACATACTGTGCCTCTTCAAGGATTTGGTTTTGTTCTAGGTCTCATTTTGCTGCAGCCATGACCTAATTCCAACCACAATTTTGTTGTTTTATTCATTTGCATCTATCCTATATAATCCTACATAACAAAAGGCTAATATGCAAATCGACTGAACGGCAGAACAACCGGTCGCTATGACATGCACTGACCACCATGGGGCAGACACTCAATGCAGGAGCTGCCCCCTGGTGGTCAGTGCGCTCTCACAGGGGGAGTACCGCTCAGCCAGAAGCCGGGCTCACGGCTGGCAAGTGCAGCTGTGGTGGTGGGAGCCTCTCCCGCCTCTGTGGTAGTGCTAAGGATGTCCGACTGTTGGACATCCCCCGAGGGCTCCCGGACTGCTAGAGGGCACAGGCCAGGTTGAGAGACTCCCCCTCCCCCGCTCCGAGTGCACAAATTTCATACACCAGGCCTCTAGTTTTTATATAATCCACATTTTTTCCCAATAAACATGCAATAAATACCCTCATTTTATATTACCCCCTTGAAGTCTTAAGCCTGTTCTTTAAATCCTATTGTAGCTCAGAGATTTTACTGTTCCAAGATGCAGGGTCCTCACCGTTTTCCCCCTGCTCCCCCTCACCTTCTACTAAGGGAAAGGTGTAATAAGGTGGGGCCTGGAAGCTGATGGGCATGAAGTTATACCTAGTCAAAATGATTGAGTCCTGATCAAAATTAAGGTGTTTTAAGTGCTATTAAGTAAATGTCCAAGCCCCTTCCCTGCTGATCTCTAGTCCCTAAATCACACTGTGAGCATTTGGAATGGGTGCTCTCTCTCCGGGGCTGCTATGGTTTTCCTTATAACAAACCACACGGGAAAAGCAGAAAGGAAGAGATGTGGGGATTTAGCATTCATGGACCAGCAAGGGCCCTGTAGGGTCTACTTCCTCCACCTGCTGTACAAGGCGGCAGGGGGGCTCCATGTGGATGGGCTCCTTCTCTTGGATCCAAGCCTATCTCCCATCCTTCTTAACTGGAAGGTGTTTTGTGCAGAAAGCTGGCCGTCTGCCCTGAAACTTCACTAATCTTGTCTTGGACACCACTTGCTGTCGTCTGCTTCATGGAGGGAATAAAGGTTTTATACAGAGGTTTCTGGGTCTCAGCAGCAGGTCTAATATCTGAGCAGATGTGTACATGCCTGGAAATAGAGATAAGCAGCTGCAGAAAGGGGATTATGAAAGTGCCAGTTAAGAGAAAAATGCGCTTTTGTCATCGAGGACACAGGAGTGGGTCTTAAGCAGAAATATTTTGTAAAATAAGAATGGCTCACTTTCAACCCATGTTCTTATAATTATTTTAATATTGAAAGACATAGTGACTGCATTATAAAAGGTTCGAACTGAGAATAAAAAAGATGTAACGGTTGGCTTGCTCTTGTATGCATTTCATCAGAACCATGTATTAGTCTTTTTTAGTTTCTTGAGGCCTTAACCAGTTTTGGTTCACCTCTACTCTTGATCTTTTGAGCAGTTTAGGATTAAAAAAACAAGAAGATTTAGGTTTGAAAATGAGAATACATGTATTTCCTAAGATCATGGAGCTGGGAAATACTGTATGTATACCAGGAAAGCTCACCAGTGTAAAAATCTTGAGTTAGGGAGGCTTCCAAAAATCCGTGGGTTCCCACTAACTTGGGCAGAGAAGGGAAAGAGTAAGCACTCCGTCTGCACCTTTTCATTTCTTCCTCAGTTTACTTTTCCTAAGCTATGGAAGCAGTTGGGATTTTGAGGTGAGGTGGTGGGGAGTGAGAGAAGACATGGTACCTGGCAAGTACATGGTCTTTGAAGTCATAATGGCCTAGGGTCAAGGGCATCCTTTTCTGATTTATCAGCTGTGTGACCTTGAGGAACTTAAGTAACCTCTCTGGGCTTTAGTATCTGCATTTGTAAAATAGCCTTCATAGGATTTTTGGGTTGATTAAATGAGAAAAAAAAGATTTTCAACACTCCTAAGTGCAGATAACACCATTATTGTTTTCTTCCTGCCTTCTCATTTACCCATCAAAGATTCCGATTCAGTGGATGAGAAAAACTATTTTTAGTGGGCATCAAATAGAGTGCTGATGGTTCTCAGACCACACCTGGAGAAGTGATGTTCTTAAAGCACGAGTAGGACTGGGCATCAAGGGAGAGGCAGGGCTGTCACTTGCATGCACACACAACTTCAGGGGGTACCCCAACATCATAGTACATGTCCATGGAGCACCCAGAGTTGGGGTGCATGACCTGCAAGGCCACAGGCAGTGGCCCTGCGGGGCTTCCCAGAGAGGTGTGTGTGAGAGAGTGTGGGCTATGCAGGGTGTGCTTGGGACACTGAAGATCTTTCACTCGGAGGGAGCAGGCAGGGTGGAGATAGGGGGCGTGTGGAGGTCCTTCGTGCCATGCCAACGAACTTAGAAAGCTGTGAGGGGCCACAGACGGGTATAAGCAAAGCCAGGATTATAACATGCTGATGGTCACCTGAGGGATGAGCCAAGGGAGAGACTGCAGGCAGACATGATCATTAGGAGGAACTTATCATCAACCAACCAGGTGAGAGCCAATGAGAGAGGGAGGGAGAAAGAGGGCTTGAACGGAGGCAGAAACAGTGTATGTGGGCGGGGGGCAGATAGCAGGAGGCTCAGTGACCCCCAGGTCCCAGGCACCTGGAACTCAGAGAAGAGGCCTGAGAAGGAAGTGAAGATTTGGGATCTGAAGCCTTGGCGTGAAGGTGAGCTCCGAGGCAGTGAGGAGCGGTAAGAGGAGGGTGCACAATGTGATTTTTGGGTCACATCAGTCCCCAGGAGGCTGGAGCCGATGGAGCCGGGAGATGAGAGAGGATAGGCCCCTGAAACAGGGGAGGTGGGAGCAGACCAGGTGAGGGGTCTGGAAGCCATGGGGAGGAGCCTGCTACCTGCTTCATCTAAAGAGAATGAGGTCACTAAGCCCACTGGGTCTGCCGGGCAGTGGTCATTGGTGGCTCCAGCAAGAGTGGTTTCGCTCGCACGGGAGAGAATGGAGAGTGGGAACGTGGAAACCCAGTTCTTTTGTGAATTGGCTGGAGAAGGACAGAGAGGTTCAGGCAGTGGTGAGGATGGCACTGACACGCACTGACCATCAGGGGGCAGACGCTCAATGCAGGAGCTGCCCCCTGGTGGTCATTGCGCTCCCACAGGGGGAGCGCCACTCACCCAGAAGCTGGGCTCATTGCTATCGGACATCCCTTGAGGGCTCCCGGACTGCTAGAGGGCACAGGCCATGCTGAGGGACCCACCCCTCCTCTGCTGAGTGCACAAATTTTGTGCACCGGGCCTCTAGTTTTAATATAATTCACATGCAATAAATACCCTCATTTTATAATACCCTCTGAAGTCTTAAGCCTGTTCTTGAAATCCTTAGAGATTTTACTGTTCCAATGTGCAGGGTCCTCACCCTCTCCCCACCTGGAGAGCAGGGGGACCGGGAGAAGAGGGGGACCCTGGAGAGCAGGGAGACTGGGAGAGCAGGGGACCCTGGAGAGCAGGAGGATCCAGGAGAGGAGGGGGACCGGGAGAGGAGGGGGACCCGGGAGAGCAGGGGGACCGGAAGAGGAAGAGGACCCTGGAGAGGCTCTCAAAGGAGCCAGGTGAGGGCTGGAGGCCAGTGCAGGATGGGTAGTTAGGATTGGGTTACAGGAAACATGACCAAGGAAGGCCGATGGCTGGGCATGGACATGGCAGTGCTGTGAACCTGGGAAGGTGTGCTGGCTCCGGGGGTGGACCAGGACAAGGAGTTCAAGGGCGCGCTGGGTAAGCCGCCTGTGTCCGTGCGGTTTGGAGTCAGGCCATGGAGATTGAGGGGGCAGGAAGAGGCTTGAGCAGGGAGAGAGTTCTTTCGTCTGCAACATTTCTGGAGAAACATAATACAGTTGTCATTTTGAAGGTTTTCAAAATTACTGTGTATAAAATTAGTATCAGTCTATAAAACTATTTCTCTTTTCTTGTTTTAGTGATGATCGCAGTGTCTCTTCAGAAGAAAAAGGTATGGTACCTCTAAGTCAGTGTTATTGAAAAACTGTATGAAACATTTGCAGTTTTAGAAAATGATTTCTTTATTGATTTTACTTACTGGCTGCAATTGCTGTGTTATGTTCATGCATTCACTGACTTATGGAAGTGTACTAAGATAATCATTAGGTTAGGATGATAGGATATGATTTTTCTTTAGAATTTTAAAATTATTTTTCAACTGATATTTAAAAGGGTGAAATGTAAAGAACTTGGGCCTTTGTAACTTTTCACAAGTTGATGGTAGGACGTAAATGCTCTTATTATAATACCCCACTCCTTTTAAACTCTGGGTCTAATGTTCTTTTTAATGTAAGTTTAAATTCAATAATGTTAAGTATTGGATGCAACTGGGAAGAATTGGCATTCAAGTTTAAATGCAATGACGAAGTAGTAGCCACTGAATTCTATAAATTTTCCATACATAAAAACTAGGGGTTATCTGTAATACTTGAGTGTGATCATCAGTTTTATACACTTAATGAAACAGCAACACAGTTCTCTCCCCGATTCTGAGTCAAATCAGAACTCTCGAATTAAAGGACTAAGCTAGGTCTGCTCCTGGGTTTGGTGGGACTGCTGAGGATCGAGTCCTCTCTCGACGTGTGCTGCGTGTTTTGAGTCTGTAAAACGTGTGCGGGGCTGTAGTTCTTGCTTTGGCCTCTGGCCCACGCTGCATGGCTGAGAGCCATTCTGGAGGAGGGTCCCGAGGCCGCTTGAGGTGTTAGTCTGTGTCACTCAACCTCAGACCAACTTGGAAACTCCTTAGTCCATCCTTGGGCCACTGTCTTACTTTTGCAAGTTCTGTTTCCATCTGGTGGTTCATTTTTTTCAGTGCAGAGCAATCACCTGCCTAATAAAAGTATCACGATTACAATCTGATAAAGGTTTGTGTAGCGTTTGGCTGGAGTGTGCAGTGCCTGGGGATGCCAGGCATCTGTCAAGACTGTGGTCAGACCTGGCGGGTCTCCTGCTTCCCAGCGCTGACATGAACCGCCCACCTGCATACACGCCACCCCCACCCCTCCCCCCACCCCAGCTCTGCTTTTGCCCGTTTCTGTCTGCCTGAGGTGCCTCCTCCCTCCCCTCACATTTCCCCAACAAGACTTGTGTCCGCTCACCCAGATTCATGAACTTCTGCTTTTTAACGTGATTGGTCTCAGTTTCTCATCTTCAGTGATTGGTCTCAGTTTCTCTCTTGGACCAACAAAACACTGGCCTAATTTCGTATAGTATTGTTGTGATTTCTTGCAGTGGTTTGTCCAATGCACAGCTACTCCTGCCCTCATGGCTGCGTTAGCCCATCAGCTGTTTTCTGGGGCATGGATTTTCTCCTCATTTCTGCCGAGTGCCCACCGCGCAGTAGGCGCTAAGTCCATGTTTATAAAATTGAGGGGGACAGTAGTCTCGGCCCAAGCCTAAGGGGATTAGTTAACCCATAGTTACTAGTAAGCCGCTGTGGTTCACCAGCCCAGTGTGGATGCCTGTTCGGGGTACAGGGGGCATGAGAGGCTGCAAGGTCCCAGTCTCTGGGGCAGCCTAATTGAGCGTGGCATCAATACAGGCACGGGCATGATAACTGAGGGGCAGTCCTTCCCTACACAGACATGTTCTGGCTTCATTTAACATTGGAGGTAACTTCTGCAACCCCCTTCTCCTCCATCATCTGCCATTTCTCCTTTCCCGCACCCACTCGCCCTGGCCTCGGCTCTCCTCACTTCCTATCCGGATCTCTGCAGTGGCCTCCTAGTGTGAGGCTCGTGGGAGTCTGGTCCATCCTGAACATCCGTGTCCCCCAATAGCCACCGTCTCGGGGACTGCCAGGGCCAGTCTGAAGCTCTTATGTCGTCTGTGCCTCCATGGCATTCCCTGTAGAATCATCAGGGATGCCCGTTCTTCCCAGTGGCATTCAAGGCCTTCTCCGGTCTGGTCTCCACTTATCCTGCCAACTCCAGAGCCTTAGCTTCAACCCATTTGTGTCATTTCACTAAATCGTTGACAGTCCTTCTCCTGGGGACCATCATCTGCCTTTCAGTGACAAAATCTAAAACCAGGTGCTGTTTCTTTCTTTCTGGTGTCAAGTTACTTAATTGCCAGGAATGTTTTTAGGGAGCTGCTGAGCTGATCAGAGAAACAAATGCAGTTACTTTGGCACAAAACTCAGAGTTTACCACAGAACCAACCAAGTGTAAATCTCAAGTTTGTTGGCTTCCTGTTCTCTCTTTACTGGAAAAGGCTTAAGGTTTCTTGGACTATCTCTTTTTTCTCCTGAGACTATGACATCATTTGCATTAGTTTGACATGCAAGGTTGCTGTGGGTCTAAAGAGGCAATTCAGTTTGTAGTAGAGGGAGCTTCTACTATTATTGGCTTAGTGGCTTTTACAAAAAAAGAACATAATGTTTTATTTTATGCTTGTATTTACACATTTCTTTCTTTCTCAAAATTTAGATTGCCCTAGTTCCAACCTAGATACGTCAAAGGACTCAAAATCAGGTAAAGGATCTGATTAATATTGGTAAATGCCCAAGTGAAATTTTTATACAATAACTAATTCATAGCAAGATAAATTACAGTTCATTTTTCTGATTCAATTCAAACAATCTGAGTGAAAGGTGGGGACTTCCATTTTTCAACCTGAAAGAGTTGAATAAATTTTAAACTTTTATGATTACCTGTTCTTGTGAAATCAGTTACTTTAAAGTTTGGTGATAAAGCTGTACTTAGTGGAACTGAGAATTTACCTAATGAGGCATTTAGGTCATTTTAAGACTGGCCACTTTAACTTAATACAGGGTCCCGAGGGAGTCCAGCCAGGTGGTGGGCACTTGGGTGGGGTAGTCCTGGGAGGCTTCCTGGAGGAGGTGATAAATTGGGGTAACAGGGCAAATGTGGGGAAGAGTTGTCCTAGTTCAAGAGACAGTGCTGCTTTTAGAGACTAAAGGTCAGATGGCTGGAAAGGAGGCTGGGAGTAGGGAGTGGGGCCTGGGGCTTTAGTAGTTGGGGGTGGGTGGTGGAGAGGAGATGGGGGTGGATGGTGGAGAGAAGCCCAGAGGCAAGTGGAGGGCACTCAGAGAGGCTGGAGGAGAGCCAGGACAGGCTCCACTGGAAGGTCATGTGGGCAAGAGGAAGTGGTTGGTGTCTTTCCCTGCGGATGCCATGGGCCTGGGGTTGAGCAGGCCTGTGGGTCATCGGGGAAAGGATCCCAAACTAGTTGTGGGAGCAGAAGGCTGACTGCAGTGGGCGGAGGGGCTGAGTTGGGGGGTGAGGAAGTGACGGGAGCATTCTTGGGGCCCACTCCAGTAGTGTCAACAACGTGGACTAAAATTGTCCTGTGCTTCTGTGAAATGGCATCCACACTCCAGAATTCTGCACTGTCCTCATTGAACGTGCGCCTGGGAACCTCCTAGATGTGCCAGTGCAGGGGCGAGATGGGCGCAGTAGGCAGGTCAAGGCCGGGCAGGACTCGGGTGACACCCCTGTACAACGACTGCAGCCAGCCTGTGAGCTGGGCTCATGTTTAAACGGCTAGCGTTTATTTTATCCATTTCCAAAGAAGCCTCAGCCCCCTTCGTGGTGGACTTGGGAAGTGACTAAAAGGAGAAATCAGTTGAGTTTGGACATGTTTTTTTTAACAGAATAGTTACAGTGGTGCCCGCTTCTTACTTGTTGTATTTGTGCTTCTGGCACGTGTTTTTATTAGGAGAGGACAGCAGCTCCGAGAGCAGTTCTGAAAGTGACTCCGGTAAGTGGGATGTGCATCTGTTTCTTTAATTTGGGCGAAGCACATGACCCTTTATTTTTATTTTAAAGTCATACACGCACCTCTCATTGCTTCAGGACATATTGATTTCTAGCGTGGTGGTTTTGTAAAGTACCAAAAAAGTACTTACATGGGAAATAATTCTAGTTGGCAAGCGAAGTAGCAAAACAGGATGAGCTGAAGAAGAAAGGCAGGAAATGGTTGCTATTGGTGAAAGGCAAACGTTTTACCTATTCTCCCATGAGCCTGGGCTTTCTCTTAGCTGGCATCTGAAGCTGACTTAGGCTTTTTTTTTTTTTGTAGATAATGAGGAGCCAAAAACAAGTAAGTACATCCTTCCTGTGAATGTTCACGTTTGTTGTTGTAAGGAAGACAGAGAAGGTTAGCCCTCGGGGTTTTTAAGCGGCAAATGGTTTGTTCATGATCATCTTCTGTGCAAAACAGAGTTAGACATGAAGCACCTTCTAAGCATTTGGAACATGGGAGCTCGTGTTCTCTGCACGGGCACCGATTGGGGTTCTGCTCTCACGGTTTCCCCGAGGAGAGAAGAATCAGGCCGAACCCGATATGCAGTGTGGCCACAGCGGTGCCGGCTTCCTTCCTGGTGGTCTCTGCTCAGGGATGATCGCAGGGTAAACACGCTGCTGCCCAAAGTGCGGCACCCCTTGTGGCCTGCAGTTCCTGGCTTGCTGTTCTGGCGCTTTGTGAGCAACTTGAGTCTGAAACCACTTTTAAGGACATAGATTCTAAATATAAAGTATGGTTTGCGTCTCCAGTTTGGTGAGTGACTAAGCTTGTATTTTCACTGATTTTATTATACGAAAGGATTTTGTCCCTGTTCTGAGAATCGGATCTGCCCGTGACCACACACACTATACCAGGCAGTCGGAGGGCTTCTTCGTAGCCCTTAAAATAAATGAGGTCTCTTCACTCAGAAGTCCTTCTGCACTTAATCTAATTCTCTCTGCAGTTTCCCAATGGGAATCTCCAAAGGCAGTTGTAAGCTCTTTGCAGTCATGTTGTGTGTTGATAGAAACCTGTAATTATCTCCCTATTACGCTCGTGGAGTAGATGTCCATTCTGATATGCAAAAGGGAGAAATGTGAGCCAGCCCCCCGCCTCCCAGTCTTCTTTATACATTAATGGATTATTTAGTCAAAAGTCCGGCCTCCACCGATTGGCTTAGGGCAGGAATTAAAGTAGAAAGCTGCGTGTAGGGATCACATTTTTCGTGGTCTCCGGCTGCTAACTGGGTAAATGGCCATGGGGACCCAGGGTCCAGAGGCAGGACCTTTACAGTCCAGAAGCAAGGTCTGGGCCACGGCCGGCAACCCCGGTGGACAGCACGTGGAGTCAGCGAAGCTCACGATAGGCTCAGAATTGGGTGGCGGGCTGGGGTCAGTGCGGTCAGGCAGGGCAGGGCTTGTGCGGGCAGGAGCGGCTGGCCCTGGCCCTGCTGGATTAGACACCGAAGTCTCTGGCAGTGAAGGTGCTCTAATGTCTTCTTTGGGCAGAGGGTGCTTGTCCCTAGAGCCCCAGGTTCATCCACAGGGCCCTGCCTTCCCCCAGGGTTACCCTTTTTTGTGAAAAGGCCTCTTGTTCTCCACACTGGGGGAGAGAAGGGGCAGACACCCTCCCACTCACCTCCATTCTCAAGTCAGATGTAGGAGGAGGTGGGCCACCCCTGGGATGCTTGCTTCTGTGTGGGCTGGCTGGCACCATGGCCCATCCATCTTCCTTGTGATTGGATGTATCCCTACTCCCAGGCTCTGCGATCTTCCTTGTGTATAGAGCGAAGAGAAGCTGTGGCTCATAGGCTGGGGAGAATTGCACCAATTCCTCCACTTCGGCTGGGAAGACCTAGTCAAAGACAGGGTTTGCCTGCTGGTTTGGATCCTCTAAACTCTTTTCCTTTTTCTACTCCCAAGGCAAACAGCGAGACAGAAAAAACATGGAATGTGGACGAAATACAATGTGATGTATGCATTACGTAGTTTAGAATTAATGATCCTTTAAAGGACAGTGGCTGAGGAAATCTGATTGGCGGGTGTGTGGTGCAGGACTGGGGTCAGTATTTCAGAACCTTTTCATCTATCGTATTCTGAGTCCCGGATTTGAATACTCTCAGTCTCCTTTTGCCATTCATTTTAGTGCTGTTTTTTGAAGTTGGTTCTCTCTTGCAACCCTGGTCCCTGGATACTGACTGCTCTGAGAGTCCCAGCGATGAGGCAGCTTGTGTAGCTACGGATGGAGCTCTGTCCTGCGGGAGGGCCGCATCTCTGGGCACTGGGGATCGCACAGGGCTTTACACCCGCGTTGAGGAGTGCCCATGCCACCCCAGGGTGACCCTCCCAAAGGCTGTTCAGACATTTACAATATAAAACCAGGCATCTGACCCCAAGTGACAAGGTTGTTGTCTACTTTAGAATTCTTTTTTTTTTTTAAATGTCTTTATTGATTTTAGAGAGAGAGGAAGGGAGAGGGATAGAGAGATAGAAACATCAATGAAAGGGAAACATAGATTGGCTGCCTCCTGCACGCACCCACTGGGGATTGAGTTGCAACCTGGGCATGTGCCCTGGTTCATGGGTTGATGCTCAAACACTAAGCCATACTGACCAGTCTACTTTAGAATTCTTGAGTTTTTTAATGATTCTTACCCATCACCATAGCGAAATAATAGTTAACAGGTAACACGCATTGAGGAATTGCTGAGTTCGAGGCACAACCCCTAACTATAATTAATTTTCCTAACTTTGTGGGGTGGTATTATTTTAGTCCCTATTTAACAGATGAGGAAAGTAAGGCACGGAGATATTTAGTAACATGACAGCCCAAGCTCATGCAACCAGTGGCCATTGTAGATAACAGGAAGATCCAGTGCTATTCCCTTTCATAGTACACTAGAGGCCCAGTGCATGAAATTTGTGCACTGGGGGTGGGGGCTCCCTCAGCCTGGATTGTGAGAGGGCGCAGACCAGGCTAAAGGACCACACTGGTGCATGATCGGGGTCAGGGAAGGATGCGGGAGGTTGGCCGGTGGGGAGGGACCGCGGGAAGGCTCCAGGGTGTATCCAGCCCGTCTCAGTCCCGATTGGCTGGAACCCAGCACCAAGCTAACCTATGGGTCAGAGCGTCTGCCCCCTGGTGGTCAGTGCATGTCATGGCGACTGGTTGACTGGTTGACTCTCTGCCCCCTGGTGGTCAGTGCACATCGTAGTGAGCGGTTGAGCAGCCTTAGCATATCATTAGCATATTATGCTTTGATTGGTTGAACGGACGACCGGACACTTAGAATATTAGGCTTTTATTATATAGGATTTTTGGTATTACGGAATTCTGGTCACGCAGGAAATAGGCATTGCACACTTACCAGGCCCTAGCGGTAACAGTTCTTTTTTTTTTTTTTAATTTTTTTTTTATT